GCAATGATATGCTGACCTAACAGTGATTTAATACAGAGGTGATAGTGGCTTGTCTTTAATGAAGATAAAGCATGTGTCTCACTTTCTAGCTTGTCTGGGCCACATTGAGGGAAGAGAAATTGCCTTGAACTGCATATGTGTAGGTTGCTCTGAAAGTAATGCTTCCTATTTATTTCCATGGAAAGTACAGTGAATACGAAGAGCGTGATAACACTACTTCATAGAGTAAATTCTCAGTTACAAAACTATTTTTCAACACATTCCACCCCCATTAGCTATGCGTTCTCACCAGTGCTGAACAAGAGCCTGCACGCTGGGCTCATAAAAATCTGCACCATGGAGGTGACCCACTGTTGCCATTGCTGAATCACGCCACCCAGCGCCTCACTGTGCTCACATCCACTGGTTGGAGTCCAGAAATGTTCAGCAATCATTAATGAATGTCACTGAGTGCCTTTTTTCTGCATGGAGGAATTCAATCCCACCCCATTGCTTCATCTGCACTTCCATGTCAGATGCCATTCTGTCAGACTGCCCCTCTGCTGCCATCTGTCACATGGCAACAACATGTAATGGGATATTGGTGGGAAGGTTCAGCCTCTGCCGTACCGCAACATCTGTCTCTGAGGTTGTGGGCCAACATAATAAAACAGGAGGCATTACTTTCAGAGCAGCTCTTGTAAGATATATAATATAGGTTATGGATATAAGCAACAAAACTTATATTAACCATTTAGTAATTTTTGAAAAACAGACAAAAAAGAAAAGGGGCAACAAACATAAAATCAGTGGAGTATTTGACCTTGTCTTTGTGAAACCAGTGCATCAATCTAATTTGATGCCAGTGGCTAGTGAGCTCTCAGGTGCTCGTCAGAGATCTTTGATGAAATTCTACTCTTCCTGTGCTTCATCCTTGACAATATTTGTTCACAAATGTATGTACTGCCACAGAGCAGTGCCATGAATAAGGTGTGATGGTGAAATGAGGAGCGGTGGGCGGCTGCGACATGGGCTGGGCCATGGGTGGGACATGACTGGGATAAAGGATGCTGAGAAACTGGTAACTTTGTCAGAGTTGCATTTTTATCTGGAACTGTGTGTCGTGCATTGTGCTATCCTTGTAAGCTTGTATCCGTGTAGGTGAGAAAGTAGCTATTTGCAATTCAGAGTTTTCACAGGACACTTCACCTGATGCCACCTCATCTGATGACTACATCCGTTTTGTCTTCCAAGTTTCATCAGTGAAACTCAGTGAAACAAGCCATGTAAAGAGCAAGTTACTTTTAGCCAGTTGCTGATTGTTGAAGTAATATGAAACTTTCATAAATTTATCAGAATTGTTTGTTGAAACTGGTGGTAAAAACAAACATGGACTATGGATGTTAGTAGCCTGCTGAGCAAGGGTACAATAGAGTCTTTGTTCTTATGGAGTACTTAATTGTAAACTGGGTCATGAAACTGTTGCCTTCTGATTTTAGAGAAGATGGGAAAACTCCAGCTTTTTTAGGACTTGAACTGGCGTTTTGAGTGGTGAATGTTGACTTATTGATCTTTGAAAGTACTCTTAAATCCATAGTGTCTAACTTCAAAATAACTTGTTGGGGTTGCTGAAGAAGTTGGAAATATCAGTATCCTTCACACAAAGCATGCACTGTGCATCTCTAGAGCTAAATCCAGAAGCTAGTGATTACAGCAGAACAATGTGAGGGAATGACAACTGGGATTTTATTTGCTTTAGAAAATGTTTCAGTAGATGTTGAAAGTTCAAGGCACTTTTTCTGCTGTAATGGTGCTCTCTGGCTAACAGCTGATGCTAATCAGTGGAAAAACATATTTTCAACAAAGTACCTTTACCAGTGGCTGTTAGTTTGGTCCATTGGTCTTAGTTGAGTGTAGTGTCCTCTACCTCTGGAGTTCTTTACAGTATTGTTCTGTGTACTAAGTACAACTGTAGCAGTTGGATATCCCTGACTTGCTGTGTCAAGAGAATGTCTGTACTTGCTTACCTGTTACCTTCAGATCCCCCTTGGTACTGAACATGTCATGAGACACCATATTGTTAAAATATAGGATTTAAGGACAGACATACAGTAGCACATCATGGTTTTGGCTGGAATAGAATTAAATTTCTTCATAGAGACTCACATGGTGCTGTGTTTTGGAGTTAAGATGAAAGTAGTCTTGATAGCACACCGGTGTTTTAGTACTGAGCAGTGCTGCACAGAGCCAAGGGCATTTCAGTGAGGGATCTTTTAGGGGGCACAAGGAGCTGGGAGGGGACAGATCTGGAACAGCTGACCCAAACTGGCCAAAGGGATGCTCCACACCTTGTGCTTAGCAGTAAAAGCTGGGCTAAAGGAGGAAGAAGGAACATTCAGAATGACTGCATTTGTCTTCCTGAGAAACAGCTACATGAGATGAGCTTTCCTGGGGATGGCTGAACGTCTGCCTGCCCATGGGAACGGAACAGATAAATTCTTTGTTATGATGTGCTTGCACATACAGCTTTGCTTTACCTAGTGAACTGTTCTTATCTTAACCCACAAGTTCTTGCACTTCTACCTCTGTGACTCTCTCCCATCCCGCCTGGGGAAAGCACGTGGCTGTGTGGTGCTGAGCTGCTGTCAGATAAACCGCAGCACAGGAAAAACATATTCAGCTGAGTACTGTAGGGGGATAGCCAGAAAGATCTTTCACAGCTGTCTACTTTTAAGCATAGTTTTAAATTAAAATCTTTATTGCTTTCACTGATGAGTGCTGCTGCTGCTATTATTAATAATGTTATTATATACTCAGTCTCTCCCTACTGTTCTTTTTGTATTTAAGTCTTCCATACCAGCATTCCTTTTAAAAAAACCTATTAACTTTAGAAGTGGTTCTGAAAACCTCTTGATGATATTCCTTTGCCCCTACGCTTCTGCTTAGACATGCCGATGACTCTGGGGAATAGCTCATAGGTTTTTGTGCAGAAAGCAGACATAACCTGTTAGTGGCTGTCTCACTGCTTAACTAGCCATAAACATAATTGCTAACCTGCTGTAATGCAAACACATCCTTCTGGCACAGCAAGGCTGTCTGCAGTGTATGAGGAAGTTGCATGCTTTTCACATCAGAATAAGTTGTCAGTTATGCCACGTTGAAGCATGTAAATGAGAATAAGGGATGAGTCTTAGGAGTTTTCTTGGCTGTGACTAGACTTAAAAGTAATCAACTGCATTTGGCTGATAACAGTTGAATTTACCCCTAGGTCAGTTTCTGAGGAAAAATGTAACAAAATGGTCATGGGTGATTTTGAGTCTTTGGAGGACTAAGATACTAATTTAGATTTTAGTCAGGTTGAGCTGCAGCCCTGGGGAAAGATTACACAGTGGCTGAAGGGTTTTTTGGTTGTTGTTTTTTTTTTTCATTTATCTTTTGTCTGCCAAAACTTTCTCCAAGTAAATAATCCCTTCCACCTGTTTTTTGAAATATGTGATTGGTTGTTTTGTGCTTGTTAAACTGTAGTTGTAACTTGTGTTAGTAAATGTGTGAGCGTGGAGAGGGATATTGAGTACGTAAAGAGGAGCAGTATTTGAAATGAAGTGCAGCACTGAAACAAGAACAAGTAGATGTGAACCACTTACAACTAAAATGAGAAGAATCAGAGCTGTGTTTTATCTCAGGAAGTGGTTTCAGAGGACATGTTCAGTTGCTGCTCAGTTCCTCGTTTTGCCAGTTGACTGTTTTGAGTTGCTTCCTATTATCTGTACCAAAAGCCAGTGTTGTCTCGATAAAGGGAGTGCAGTACTTTGGGTCAGTTGCTTCATTGACATCTGAATAATAATTAACAATAAAGATCAAAATTCCCAGACATCAGTAACTTGAAAGTGCAGCATCAAGTCATTAAATAGCCTTGCCTGAATTGGTTCATTGTGGACTCCCAAAAGTGTAAGTTCAAAAGCAAGGGATGACAAAGTAATAGGGAAGCAGTCATGGGTGCAGATGTTGGTAGGAGTCACAGTAGCCACTTTTACAGTATCACTGCTTTTCCTCAATGTCAGAGAAGAAATTTGAGTATGGGTTTTGATTAATTTCAAGTAGGTATTTTTGCTCTGTATTGTCTTGTCAGTATGCTTAACAGCTGCTATTCATCAGGATCCCTGCTGGGTGCTTTTTTGTCTCACTTGTGTGTTAACTTTTCTGGCAGATCAAATTCAGTCTACCGCTCGTACTTTTTATTTTTGGTCGTAAAACTTGGCCAGCCAGCCTTATTCCTTAACTGTAAAACTACTGTCTTTGGTAATGACATAAATTAATAGTCTAAGACAAAACTACTTAATACTTCATGCAGTTGCATCACAATCCAGACTGTCTTAATTAGTCTTTATCCTGCATTGCCTCAGGCTTTGACCTCTCAAGCTAAACCAGGTTGTGCTTGGCTGGGATGGGAGAAGTCAAATTCAGTGCTACAGGAAATACTAGTGATTCGGTAGATGAGGTGACACCTCTGAGTGAATGTTTTCCCTGTGCTGCAGACTGGTAAAGGGTGGGATGTAAAACAGAGATTCTTTGTTAAACGTTCTATGCTATTCCTGGTAAAAGTGAAACTTGATTCAGAGCTCATCTAGTCCAACCCTTCCTCCCCACCCCCCATAAAGCAGGTAACATGCTTTAATGGTTGAATGCTCCCTATGTGTCCAATTTGTTTTAGTAGGATTGTTACACTCTTCCTTCGGTCTTAAGCTGAACTTAGAGTTACTGTGAAGCTTTACCTTCCAGAAGTGGTAACTTGTTAACAATTGGCAACAGATCCACTTGCCAAAGCAGCAGTCTGTTTTGAGGTCTTTTGGAAATCAAGGGGATTACACTCATGTAAGAAATGTCAGCTTTTCATTTTGAACCTGACAGATTTATTTTTTTATTTTTGGCTTTGAATATTTGCAGAGTATTTATTAATTTTGGCTTGAATGTAAACATTTGCTACATGGCCAGGTGTGCTCAACTTACTTTTTTTTTCATAGGATTCAAGTGCCCTGTATGTTCAAAATTTGTATCTTCTGATGAAATGGATTTACATCTCGTGATGTGTTTGACAAAACCAAGGATAACCTACAATGGTAAGAAAGAAGTAAGCTGATTATTATTTCTTTATTTTAAACCTTAGTGTAAATAATTTTTTATTAAGATACTCAAGTAACTAATACAACTGACTGAGAAATGGTGTGGTTTTATCTGTAGTTAATTTTTTCAAAATAATTCCTTGAAATGTATAAAATACATAAAATATATAAAATTATTCCTATTTGGGTGTGTTTTATTCCATTTTTGATCACAAGGTCAGATATTGATCAATGTCCATTTAGTGTCCTTTCTAAAAAAAAGTTGATGTATAAATAACCTACGGTGTTATGGACTCATTGACTTCCCTGTTCCTTTGCTTTTATGATATCTTACATTGTACTTTGTCTTGGAATAAGTCTTGAAGGGTGGTTTGGCCCATCTTATTCTTTGTCTGAATAGCAATAAAGCATCAGGGACAATGAAACAAAACATTAACTGCAAAAATGATTTGAAATCATATAGTTGTGAAATCCATGTCAAAGTGCAGTATTCAGGTAAAGTAAATATAGATTTATTTATTTTTTATCCTGTTGTTGCAACATGTATTTGAGGAGGTTGGCTTAATTTAGCAGAGAGTTATGTTTCTTTTTGATCTGCTGGTGATGGTTGTCGTTTTCATTTAGATTTGGACTGAACAGTTTCCAAGGTAGGTTTTTAGAGAACTGTGTACATAGAAATGTTGAACATAAGGGAGAAGCAGACTAGTCAGCCCAGTAAGGGAGGGATAAAGCACTTGGGGTCAGTTTGGATGGAGCAGGAGGAGGCAGGCTGGCAGAGAGCAAGCTCTGGCTATAATCCAGCTCATGAGATGTGCACAAATTACAAGTTGACAGACTGAAATCCTTTGCCTCTGCTGCTTCTTACATGTACATGCAAGCACATTCATCCAGTGAACATTTTTGTCCAAAGAAACAGCAATTGCATAACAACCTCTTGATATTGTTGGTTGTGTTACATTGTACCACAGTGGTGCCATATTCAGCCTCTTTTTTTCCTGCATTGTTTCTCCCAGCTGGCGCACAGTTAATTGGAGCTCTTTGAGGCCATCTTGTTATCTTTGTGTAGTCCCCTCAGTCAAAAAAAAAAAAAAAAAAAAGAAGAAGAAGAAACAATAACCCGTCTCCATAAAAGAGCAGAAATAAAAACTTCTGAGAGGCACCTGACACGATTCTCTTGATAATCTGCAACATGACAAAAGTCAGTTGTGGACAGTATGGTATGAGGTACTATCTGAACCGTGATTTGTCAAGTTAGGACAGTCTCTCATTCTAGGAAGTGGTAAAACAAGCTTGAAAGGGGAAAACTACATAAATTGGTTTGAGAGACATTTAACTGGAATTATGGTTTCATTCTCATAAACCTTTAATAGAAGTGTGCATTGATCCTTTTAATTACAGTTGGTTAGCTTCTGGACCTTCAGACTAAATCTTAAATTATAGTATAAAGTTGCTTATTTTACTGCAGTGTAAAGAAATTAAGGATATGGCTTCAGAGTTGGGTATCACTCAATAATTTGGTGCATAGTTGGGATCCGTTTGAAGAGAATAATGAAAGAAAATTAACTAGTAGATTGATAACTTGACCAAATGCTGCTCTGATTACAGCCTAGAATTGTATATGAATACCTAAATGATGGCATTTTTTCCTGTATTTTTGCTGTTTGCCAGCACAAGGAAATCAGTGATGGATCTGTCCTTTTGCCATAAGCAAAGGGCATCTTAAATTTTGCTTGCAAGAAGAAAAAGTGTTGCTATTGACTTTTGATCTCTTTCCCAAAGGAGATCTTAATCTCTTTATGCTTTACTTTCTCATGGTTATTTTGGGCTCTTGCTGGATATACTCAATTAGACCCATGTAGGCATAATTTATTTGTTTATGTTGGTCGCTGATAGTTTCCTGCTTCTGTCTAGGAGGAGAAATACTTATATTTCTTTTACTTGCTCTTCTCTCTTCATCTTGAATTGAAAGTAGCTGAAGGAAGCCTTAGGCTTTTGCGGGTTGGGAGATGTTTTAAAAATTGGGCAGTTGGATTGAACTGTGTGTATATCTAATTCTATACTGGTTATGTTTTCTCGTACTGTGAATGTATGAAGATGAGTCGTTCTTTCTAGGAAATGTCAGAGAGCAAATTGTGCATCTTGTGTGATTTTGAGACAGGCATTCTTTCTTTTTAATGCAAGCCTAAGGCATGTGGTCTTCACCAGAAAATGTCATAAGTCTGTTTAGTTGTGATTTGAAGTTTAAAAAAAAAAAGAAACAAGTCCTTGCAGGCTATTTCTCATTACTTTCTGAGCTACCTTTGTGTTTTGCTTTTGGCCACAGGAAGAGCCAGTGAACAGCAGTTTGTGGCAGCTGGCTGATTTTTTCACATGTTTTCTGAAAGAGTGGTCACAAATTTGTCCTAGTTCTATGCTGGAAGTTGTTTTGATTTTCATATAAATAAATCAGTACATTTTATTGGCCTTCTTTTAAAATCACGCGACTTCTCTCTAATAGAGATCTCATTGATTCCTCAATTTGACATGTACTAAGCACTCTTTTTTTCTGTGGAACTTTGTTCCAAGTATCTCTTAAACTACTTGTGGTGCTCAGACCAGTATATTGTTGTTCTGATACAAAAGCTGTTTACATGGGTTGAATTGTGTGAAAACATTGTGGTGGTTAGTGTTATAGCAAGGCTGTTTAAGACAGTCTTTAGCCATTAAGAATCCTCTTCATAGTGCTTTTCGCTGAGCTCCTGAGGAGCCCAAATAGGTTCTGTGTGCTGGCTAGCCACAGGTTGCTAGAAGCCACTTTTATGGAGAAAGTGGATTACTTGCTAGTTGACCTGTTCCTTTTGTCGAGTTTGTTTGCTTTGTGTGTGTGTTTGGGGGTGGGAGGGATTCTGTTGAAAACAATTGCTAACATCATACACAGCCATACAACTTCTCCAGGCCTGTCTTCTCTTTCTTGTCTGCAGCGGTGAGTGAAGTGCAGGGCCCACCTGGAGGCAACTCTCTCAGAGATGCTGCTCATGGAGAGCCCTCTTGGCCTGGCAGAACTGTTTGCTTGAGTAACGCTCAGTGCTTTGGAATTAACTTGCCTTGACCTCTGTGCATCAATTGCATCAATTCCTGCTGCTGAGAGGCAGGTGAATAGACTTACCTGGTGAAGAGTATGTTTTGAATGCAGTTATAGCTTTGTCTATTTACAGTATGGGTACTCTTTTTCATTGGAAGACATTTAAAAATGAGAAGACCCAAGCGAGAGGGCTGCTGGTGGCTTAAAGCAAGCTAGTTTTAGCTGTCCTGCAACTAACGCCGCTGAATCCTTCTGAAGAAACCTTGCAGCTGGTTCTGTCTGAAGTAATTCTGTTTGTCTTTTTGAAATGCCTTTGTTTGGTTCTCAGGACACTTTGTAAGACTTTATTATTATTAAAGGGCCTCTCTGCCAGCAGGGACTAGCAGGCTGGCAGCCTGCCAGCTGGGGAAGCCAGTGACCCCGGGAGCTGGGAGAGCCAGTCAGCTCCCTGCCTCCTTGGCTGCACGGCCAGCCGGCCTCTCCTCTCTCAAAAGTTTTCATTGAATTAGCACATTCCTGTGGAATATTTTGGGTTTCATCGAGTCAGCACTTTGCATCGGAACGTTGTTCTACTGGAAACTTTCTCAGCGGGCCTCCTTAGAGCCGTGTGCTCAGGGTAGAGCTGCTTGGCATCAGCGCTGCTTTCTCTCAGGCTGCTCTGTGTTTAATTCAAATATGGCAGTGGGTCTGATTAGCAGCCAGTGTACTTATCGGGGTTTTTGTTCAGGAGAAAAAACGTGCACTAGTCTGATTTTAGGGAATGTTAAGACATCCATTGCACAAGCTGCTGGAGGATTTTTCATGACCCAAGGTAACTGCTTTGCATTTTTTCTTTTAGGTTAGCAGGGCTTTCTTATGAGGGATGTAAATACAGCTAATTCTAAAACAGTTTAAAAGAGGAATGATAGTACTGTTTGATGTTTGAGGCCTGCGTGTGAGTGAGTTTCATAATCCTGAATTGGCATCTGCCAGAGCAATGATCTTGTTACAGAAGTTATCAGTGTCTACATGACAACTATAGCATATGCATTATGATCAATGAGAGATTGCCATAAATCATCCAACGAACTAAATACAAGTATTTTTTCAAATATTCTTTGGGAATTAGACTTTGTTTTTTCTATCACGAGTTGTATTGGTTTTGGATTTGAGGCTGTTTCAAAACCTCTGAGTTTTCAACTTACTCAGCTGATACTGCTCAGTATCAGCTTCTCTTCAGAAGGGAAGAGAAAGATTGCACCTTAACTTAGCATTTGAATCACTGAGATCTGTGATTCTGGTAGTTCAGCCTCTGCAGTGATGTCTTTTCCTTGGTTACATCTGTGCTGAAAAAAAAAGAGGGTATTTTACCCAGCAGCGCTCTCTCCTGATGCTCTGAAAACATCAGTCTGAAGAAAATAAGAATTACCAACTTCAAGTTCATGTCCCTGTCAGGATTCTCAGGGTATGAGACCATACCCTAAGAGACCTTGCAAAAGGGCATGGTGCCAGTCTGCCTGGAAAAGCTTAAGCCATCCTCCTTGTCCTCATCCTTTAATAGGACTAGACTTTCAGCAGAGCAGTGCAGAATAATACCAAGGCAAAGCAGTTCTTTCATTCTGAGATTTAGAATTCTCCTTAGAACTTTTCAGTTCTTCCGTTCTGGAGTTGAGAAATATCCTTGGCCTAGTGTTTCTAGCTTCTTATTTTGCCCTAGGAGATTCTGCACTCTGTCCTTGGGGTTGTGTTGTGATAGGCAAAGAGCACACTCTGCACAGTAGGACATGAACAGACACTTAGCCTGTGTCTGCAGTTAAAATTTATTTCTGTTTTGATCATGTGTACTCATTAAAACCCTCCTGATTATGTAGGAGCCTCATTCAGTTCCCCTAATGCTTTACAACTGTTTTCTAATGCATTTCCTTAAAATAATTAGAACTGTTAAACATCTGTTGAA